TGGGCCAGCTGCCCTTGAGCTCTGACTGCCACTCATTGTCTAATATCTGTCCCCTCATGGGATTCCCTGGAGCTTCCATCATCCAGCAACTAAAGAGTCAATTCCCAGCAAATGGGGGGGCGGGGAGACTGTGACTGGTGTGCCCTTGCTGTGCCTGCCCCTAGACATTTTGACTGTTACCCCTGACTGTCAGCAACATAATTGGACTGTGGCTCATTTAAGCAAAAGGGAACTTAGAACAGCTTTGGGGGGTTCCAAAACTGATGTGGTGGCTGGAGTGCCAGGTTTGGGAACAGTTGTAGGGTCAGGGTCCCAAATAAGTGTAGTCAAGTTAGGATGTTTTGAGGTGGTTTAAGAATGAGACTGTTTATAAAGTCCCTTCAGGCTGTTAGTACCCCAGGCCTGAAGGGGCAAAGGCAGGGAGCAGCCCAGAGACTTGTATGAGGAGGATAATGAATGGGAGCTATCACCTTCAGTTGAGGGGTACAGCCAGCCCCATGGGGAACGAGTCTGGGGACTGGAGCCCCAATCTCTCCCTCTTCCTCCTCCTAGTCTGCTGCAGTGATATCCACTGGCTGCACCCAGTAGGAAGCCAGAGGGCAGGGAGCTGGTAGATGGAATCCATAGAAAGATGGAAAAGGACAGAGTGACATGGAGAGACGAACGAAGACATTCAGTCACTTTGGGAAGAGGCAATTCTGATAGAGGATGCTGGGGCACCAGGGGCAAGAGAGGTGCATGTTAGTCGTCAGTGTGTCCATCTATACAGCCAAGCTCATGTAGGCATTATTCACAATGGCTAAGACGTGAAATCAGGCCAAATGTCCATTAACAGATGATAATCTGTTTAATGGATAAACAAACTGTGTGCTATACATTTATTGGAATATTATTCAACCTTAAAAAGGAGGCTCACACCTGGAATACAAGCACTTTAGGAGTCCAAGGTAGGAGGATCACTTGAGTGCAGGAGTTTGGGACCAGCCTGGGTAACAGAGTGAGATCCCGTCTCTAAAAAGGGAAGAAATTCTGACACACACTACAACATGGATGAACTTGCATAAACCTTGAAGGCATTATAAGTGAATTAAGCCAGTCACAAACATACAAATACCATATAATTCCACTTATATGAGGTACTTAGAGTAGTCAAATTCATAGAGACAGAAAATAGAATAGCGATTGCCAAGGGGGGAGGGGAAAATGGGAATTACTGTTTAATGAAGATTGAGCTTCATGTGTGCAAGATAAAAACAGTTCTTTAAATGAATAGTTGCAATTTGCACAACATTGTGAATGTATTTAACACTGTTGAACTGTATACTTAAAAGTGGTTTAAGACAGTAAATTGTTATGTGTAAAAATGCCACTTTAAAAATATTGAAAATAGGGCTAGGCATGGTGGCTCAAACCTATAATCCTAGCATTCTGGGAGGCCTAGGCAGGTGGATTGCTTAAGCTCAGGAGTTTGAAACCAGCCTGAGCAAGAGCAAGACCCCCATCTCTAAAAGTAGCCAGGCGTTGTGGCAGGCCCCTGTAGTCTCAGCTACTTGGGAGACTGAGGCAGGAAGATCCGTTGAGCCCAAGAGTTTGAGGTTGCTGTGAGCTATGACATCACAGCACTCTACCAAGGATGACAAAGTGAGAGTCTGTCTCCCCCCCCCAAAAAAAGATTGAAAATAAAAACCACCTTACCAGGCTTAGTGGTTCATGTCTGTAAATCCAGCAATTCGGGAGGCTGAGGAGGGAGGATCACTTGAGGCCAGGAGTTCAAGACCAGCTGGAGAAAATAATTATATTCCATCTCTAGAAATATAAATAAATAAATAAATAACAGCAGTTGGCAGAGCATTGTGGCATGCACCTATAGTGCTAGCTACTAGGAAGTTTGAGGTGGAAGGATCACTTGAGCCCAGGAGTTTGAGGATCCAGTGAGCTATGATCATGCCACTGCTATGATCTAGCCAGGGAGACAGAGTGAGACCCTGTCTTTTAAGAAAAATAAAAAAAAACACACACAATATGTCCACTACCATAGTGACATCACACAATATTGATTCATTGCATTGCTTTCCCTAAGCCAAGTGGCTGCATTGCACAGTTCCAGTGGGCATCAAGCAAATATTACACAGTAATATTAGTAATAGTAGTAGATGGTACAGCCTTGGGCTAACCCCGTGGAACACAGGGAAGGGGTCCTTGCTGACTCCAGTGACCGTTACTCACATCAGTAACCTTATCTACAATGATCCACTTACTGCTCACCACATGGATCATGCTACCCCAACAACTAACCCCTTTCCTCCTCCACCAGGTCTTCTGGGCCATTGGGACAGTGTTTGAGGTCATCCTGGCTGTGTTCGTGATGCCCAGCCTGGGCTGGCGCTGGCTGCTCATCCTCTCGGCTGTCCCACTCCTCCTCTTTGCTGTGCTGTGTTTCGTAGGTATCCTTTAAGAGATCTCAGCCTTTGCCACCTGGCACTCCACTGGACTCTGTACGTGGGTATGGGTGTGAGGGAGAAGGACATTGAGCCACCTTTCAAGATTAAATAAGGAAACGAGACAAGGGACCAAGGCCTGGGGTAGCCCCAGGGTGGGGTGTTACATTTTCTCCAGGCAGACACTTCTAGGATGTTTCCTAGGGAGATAGCTAGGGATTAAGGGTTTCATTTATCCCATGATGGCAGATCTATACTTAAAGTGACTGTATTGGATTAGTTGGGATTCTTAAGTTGAAAGTGACAGCAACACAATTCAAGCTGGTTTGAGCAAAAGTGAGGAATAAATGTATTACAGAGCATTAAATCTAACTTCAGAGTTCCCACCTAAAGACTCCACACATAAACAAGAGCATGTGGCTGGGAGGGAGTGTTCTGCTCTACCCTAACCAGCTTTGTATGGGTCTCCTGTTTCCCCCAGTGGCTGCCAGAGAGTGCAAGGTACGATGTGCTGTCTGGGAACCAGGAAAAGGCAATCGCTACCTTAAAGAGAATAGCCACAGAAAATGGAGCTCCCATGCCACTGGGGAAACTCATCATCTCCAGACAGGTCAGTTCCCAGATCGACTTACTGGGTGGCATGCGTATTGGTGTCTGCTGTGGGGTGGGGCATGCACGTGCATAGTGAGCACGTGTATCCAGGGTAGGGTGACTAGATTTTAACATCGGTAAGGCGGGACAACATGGGGGGGGGGAACGGGGCGGGGCCGGGGCAGGGCAGGGACTGACAACAATGCAAACTTTGATAAGCAATTCTCGATAATCACTTCTCAGTAATTATTTGTTATTATTACAGTTTAACATTATAAAATTAACAAAAATAATATAAAACTCATATTCTGGCGAAATAGCCACATGGCAGCTGAAAACCGTATATTCCCTTCTTGTTCTCCCGCCCGTTCGTGCATTCTTTCCAAAATTCGGGACTTTTTAAAAATGCCGCGGGACGGGGGATGTCTGGTCACCCTAATCCAGGGTTGTGTGTGCGTGTGCATGTGTGCACGGCGTGTGTGTGTGTGTGTGTGTGTGTGCTCATGCAGGTGTAGGCAGAGCCTGCAAGGGTAATTTAGCACCTCCAATCTGTATTTTTACTGTCCAGTTCTATTGCAAATACGCTACCTAGAACATTTAGCCAGTGATCAGAGAAACGTAAGATCTACTAATGGATCCTGTAAGTACTCCTGCTTGGTTGCACCTTTCAGCACTGATGGAGTGTGACTAGCAAATGTGAAAGATCAGCAATGGCCGTGCCCTAAAACTACATTGGAACGTAGATCTAGGGGATGAACACGCCTATTGTGGATATTCCTGATGGCTGGTGCATCACTCCCAGCAGCCGGCCATCAGGGAATCCATCACGGAGACGTCTATGGGCACCTGCTTCACATAGGCACTGGTACTACACACGTGGGAAGAAGGGGTAGATCATTAATTCCTGAATTAATTTGCCACATGATCTATTTACCAAAAACATGTTTTAAGGATCATTCTTTTTGAATGTCTTTAGTAAATAGGAATACACTATATTTTTCATATATAAATATATAAATAAATACATTTATTCACCAATATAGTCTTTCTAGAAATATACTAATGAGTCTATTTCTAAATACTGTACTACATATATTAATGCTCTATTACAAAGTATATTCAGTAAATTCAAACCTCATAGATTACATGAAATATATTTAATGAATTTAATTTAATGAATATTATCTCCTTATTCAAGCATATATTACAAAATATTTTTATTCATGAAGACCATATTCATAGATAGACTAAATCCCCCCATGACCTGTGATCTATTTTTTTAATTTTTAGCATGTTTTAATACGTGATCATTTCTCAAACTCCTGCTAAGAAAAATATTTTGATTATATATATGAAAAGAATATAATCACAATCAGAGGATTATTATTATTTTTAGACAGAGTCTCACTCTATTGCCCAGGCTAGAGTGCGGTGGCCTCGCTCACAGCAACCTCAAACTCTTGGGCTCAAGGAATCCTCCTGCCTCAGCCTCCCAAGTAGCTGGGACTACAAGTGCCCACCACCATGCCCAGCTATTTTTTTTAACTTTTTTTCTATTTAGTAGCGACAGGGTCTCTCTCTTGCTCAGGCTGGTCTCAAACTGAGCTTAAGCAATCTACCTGCCTGGCCTCTCAGAGTTCTAGGATCATAGGTGTGAGCCCATGATATCCTGGCCCAAAGGATATATTTTCAAAAGAACACATAAAGCAAAGATTCAGTAAATTTGTAAATGGTATAAAACTGGCAAATGGGTCCTTTAGCTAATCAATGTTTTGACAAATTGACCTTTGGCAAGTTGGTTTTTCAGTAAAGGAGTCATTGCCACTTTGACCTAGAGCTGGCTTTGAAGGAAAGAGAGAGAGAAGTAAGTGTGTGTGAGAGAGAGAGAGAGAAAAATGATTGCACTATGTGAAATCCCCTGGACTGCTTTTCTGCTCTGTGGCCCACAAGACTGCCCAAGGTCAGAGTGGGCCAGGCCTGAGGGCTTGCTTCCCAGCTCTGGATTTCCAGGTTGGAGGGCAGGATGTGGTTCCAGCCTAGGGGATCAAGTCCCTGGATTTTGCTGAATCTGGCTGAAGGTGTTGGGTAGCTAAATCCTATGGGTTTGAGTCCTGGGTTCCCAGAGCCTGCATGTCCTGTGCCCCAAAACTTCCCTCCCAGCAGTAGTCTCAGGCCACCAGCCGGTGCCCCACACATCTGAGAATAAATACAATTTCCTTATCTTGAAACAGGAAGACCGAGGCAAAATGAGGGACCTTTTCACACCCCACTTTAGATGGACAACTCTGTTGCTGTGGTTTATATGGTAAGAGCTGTTTGGTGACCACCTTGACCTCCTTCCCCTCCTGTGCCTTGTTCCAGCTTTTGTTTTCTGATGTACAGAAAACACTTTGATCTCAGGCAGCGTTTGCAAATTTCAGTAGTTTGAACATCACCCTCCTGATTTCTGCCACCTCTGGCAGTCATCTGTACTATTATTTTCTTAGTCTTTTTCTTTAAGTTGACTTGCTTTTTACTCATGAGGATCTTTGAAAAAGAAACTTCATCTCTCTACTTCAAAGGAAAAAACACTGAATTGCAGTTATCGAAGGCAATCTTCAAGATAAGTACAACAGAAAGTAGCTAGATTGATTGTTTGCAGAGGTAACGAGCTTTTGTGTTTAAGAGACAGACTAAGAGAAAGGGGAGGTGTTAAGGATTCCACAGCACACAAGTGAGACTGGGATATCGTTCAAAAGAATGGAAAGGAAACTTAAAAGTGACTTTTCCCCCCCCACAATACAATTTCCCATTTGTGCAGTATCAGTTCATCTTGCCTGGGGTACCACCAGTGGCACACAGCACACAGTTTGGGAACTGCAAATTTGGTCACCGTGGCCGTTTTCAGAACTTTCGGTTCTGATCCAAATCAACTTTTCTTAAACACAGCCACACAGCCGTGGGAGGCTAAAGGTTGGGGTGGCATTTGCAGAGAGTAATCACCTTAAGCTCCAGGTGGAATCAAATTTCAGTCATCTTTCCATCTCTTTGTGCCAATTCATGAACATGGCATCAACAGTGTACAGATTGGCCTGGCTTAAGGCTTTGTGCTGTTTTTTAACCAGTTCTCATTTTTCCTATTCACCTCTGAGCAGAGGCGCTAATTAGCAGAGGAGTGTCCTAGGGGCAGTCAGTTACAAGAAAGAGGAGAAAAAAAGCTTTGATAATGTACAGAACCGGACTCCAGCGCTGCCCCCACATTCCTAGGAGCTGAATCAATGCACCAAGCATTTATTTTTTTTTTATTTTTTATTTTTTTATTTTTTTATTTTATTTATTTTTTTTTTTAGACGGAGCCTCAAGCTATCCCCCTGGGTAGATGCCATGGCATCACGCTCACAGCGACCTCCAACTCCTGGGCTCAAGCGAGTCTCCTGCCTCCGCCTCCCAAGTAGCTGGGACCACAGGCACCCGCCATAATGCCTGGCCATTTTTTTTGGTTGCAGCCATCATTGTTGTTTGGCGGGCCCGGGCTGGGGATTCGAACCTGCCACCTTAGGTGTATGTGGCTGGCGCCTTAGCCGCTTGAGCCACAGGCACCGAGCCATACCAAGCATTTATTAAACACCTGCTGTGTGTCCAGTACAAGTGTGGAGTCCATAGGATTTTTAAAAAAGGAATGGGGCAGGCCAGAGTTAAGAATACCTACCTTGGTGGCGCCTATAGCTCAGTCAGCAAGGGTGCAGGGCCATATACACTTAGGGTGGCAGGTTCAAACCTGGCCTGGGTCTGCTAAACAACAATGACAACTGCAACCAAAAAGTAGCTGAGCATTGTGGTGGGCGCCTGTAGTCCCAGCTACTTGGGAGGCTGGAGCAAGACAATCTCTTAAGCCCGAGAGTTGGAGGTTGCTATGAGCTGTGATGCCACAGCACTCTACCCAGGGCAACAGCTTGAGACTCTTGTGTTGAAAAGAAAAAAGCATACCTACCTTTGAGTGTGTATAGTTAGTTTGGGCCAACACCACTTGAATACTGAAGCAATTAATACAGACTAACTTTAGTGCACTGCAGAAGTTGTCAAATATGCTAGTACAAATTGTAACCCAAGGAAGTTAATCATTGGCTTCTGATTCTAAATTCCCACGATACTATTTTATTGGATGGAAATATTCTGGCCCTGCAAACCTGAGTATTCTTATTCCTGTGTCCATCAGGAATTGATTAACTGTCTCATTCTGCTCTGAAATTATAAAATAACATGTCCAAATTGACTGACTCAAACCAGAAGCCCTGACAGATGTCAACAAGATTGTTTTATCTCAAATTTTGGTCCCTAAAACTGTTTTCACTCGTTGCCAGTTGGATAAACAGCCTTGGAGGTGCTGTGTCTCTAGGATATAATATAGTTCATAGTCTTTCAAAGGACACAGGATCACTTCCCTTTCATCATATGATGCTGTTTACCTGCCATCTTCCTGCTCCAGGTCCCCAGTAAAATTCCCAAAGACCCAGTGCCGTCCAAAGATGGGTCCCTACTGCTATAGACACAGGCCCTTCCCAAATGGATGGGAAAAGGGAACTTGCATTTCTCTGATCATTTCTTTACCTTTGTTACTTGCTCCTGGCAGGTTTTCCAATGCGTTTTCTTACTACGGGTTAGTTCTACTCACTACAGAACTGTTCCAGGCAGGAGACGTCTGCAGCAGTGAGTATGGCGGTTCTCTTTCCTGGCCAATTACCCCTGCAACTCCCAGTACATAACAGAGTCACACAGGCATTCACATCCAGGGCTCTGCCCTTATGGGGCCTGGCCTTACTTTGTTTTCCAAGATGCTCTGGAAAGACCTGGACAGTCTTGTCACAATAGAGCTACCATTAGCAGAGCCACTTTATGTCAGGGTTTGGGCTCTGAAGTTAGCATTGTTAAAAGATAAGGCAAGGCACAGTTAACATTTTGAAGAGTATATTGAACAGACAGCAATTTCATGAATCAGCAGAAAAGAGCTCAAGAAACAGAAACAAGGAACAAAAAGAGGATTAGTCATTTAAAAATGACTTTTCTTGTAGGGTTAAAATGGAAGGGACTGCCTTGTCATGCCAGCCCAGGTAGCTACTTTATTTGCGTTTCCCTTTTCTGGTGTGAGGTGGAGAGTAGCCCCTTTCAAAGTTCAGTTTGATTTTGTTACTTAGCAAAAGTGACTCCAGTCTGATTTGGTCTGGGCTGCTGGGCCTTGGGGCAGGAGGCTGGTCCAAAACAATGGCCTCCTATCTAAGCTTTGATAGAAGGTCATCCAAAAGCAAGACAAAAAAAAAAAAATGCTTAACTGGTTAAGGTGGAACAGTAGCCTTGACATCCTTTAATAAAAGTTGGTGTTTTCTGATTGGTTAGGTTACTGTGAGTAACCTGGGTTTCAGTTTACTTATGTGGAACTCAGAATCCTCCACTGTCTCAGCCTAATGGCCTCCCAATTAATTGTTTTTAACAGCGCTTAAGGTGAAAACTACGTATAGGTTAAAATTATCACTGAAAATCTCCTGGCCCCTCAAACCCCCATGGTATAGTACTCAGAGTTTTATGGAAATGATCGTGCAGCAATTCTAATGTGCACATTAACTCTGAGAACCAGGTTGGATTGCCACCCTGGCCGTGTAATAGAATTGCATGGGAAGCATTTAAACAATGCCCAGGTCAATTTAATAGGTATCTCGGCGTGGAGGCTGATGCTGGTGAAGCCCAGGCATTAGCAATTTTTAAAAGCTCCCCAGGTGATTCTTTTGTACACCTGGAAGTAAGACCCAGTGAACAAAAGGAAGGAATAAAAAGGAAAGTTTCTATGCAGATGTCTGTGCTTTCAAACCGTTCTCTCTTTAAAATAATACTAGATTCCTAGCACTGACCTCAGGTTGGGGGATAAAGGAATCAAGTTCTTGCTTGTCTTCAAGGTTTGCTCAATTATCTGTTTTTGTATGAAGCCTCTATAACTTTAGTTAATAGTTTTGTTCATTGGTATAACCATTCAGTGAGACAGTGGCGTCACATCTCTCTTGCAGGTTAAATGCTCTGCAGAAGTGCCTTAGTGTAGATAGATCAACTATAGGGTTTGGTATTGACTGAGCATAGGTTGCATCCCCTAATAGTGGTGCTTCAACTAAGCAAAGGATCCAGAGGAATGTTAAAAAGCAGGGGATGGGCTCGGCGCCTATAGCTCAACTGGCTAAGGCGCCAGCCACGTACACCTAAGGTGGCGGGTTCGAATCCCCGGCCTGGACCCGCCAAACAACAATGACGGCTGCAACCAAAAAAATAGCCGGGCGTTGTGGCGGGCGCCTGTGGTCCCAGCTACTTGGGAGGCGGAGGCAGGAGACTCGCTTGAGCCCTGGAGTTGGAGGTTGCTGTGAGCTGTAATGCCACGGTACTCTACCCAGGGGGACAGCTTGAGGCCCTGTCTCAAAAAAAAAAAAAAAAAAAGCAGGGGATGGCAAACCTTTTTTTTTAGTCTTTGTGGACCATGCAACTCTGCCCTTTGTAGTAGGAAAGCATCTATGGGCAATATGGAAATGAATAAGCATGCTTGTGTTCAAATTCAGATTTGAATTTTATATAATTTTTATGTCTCAGAAATAAAAATAAAATCCTAACCTCCCAACCAACTGCATAGACCCCTTTTTGTCTCAGGTTACCTGTGAGAAACCTTTAAAACTTGAGTTTGATGGGAGGTTGGACATGCCTTGTTATACCCCACCCCACTAAAGGCCATTAGGCTTTGGTCCTAGGGTTAAAGAGCAACCAACCTTTTTAAAAGCATTCTTCATTGCTGATTTCAACCAACCTCCTGAAGCTGCTCCTCCTTTCAATACAGCAGTGGCCTAGCATCCCTTCCTGATAAGAGGCCACAACTTTGGCGTATTTCTGACCAGTCTACAGAGGCTGCACACAGAGGGCCTTCATGTTCTCTGCTTCATCTTTGACACATAAAGCTTAATTGTAATATATTTAAATGTTTAATCTCCACCTCCAGGTGGACATTGGGACGCATGTGGCATACACGTTAGCTTCCTGCGCACGCGCACACCTCCCCTTCACAAATATTCATAGCTCCTCTCATAACCTTAGCCAGAGCGCTCAGTATGAATATCCCGTTTCCTCTTTCCCTCCCTCTAAGTGTTTGCTCTTGGCAACTGTGTTTCCCAGTCTATCAGGATGACCAAACTGTAGGCCACAACCCTTTGTGAGAAGTAAACCTCTCCTTTCCAAGTTTATGAACCTTACCATTCTTCAGTTGACAGTCTCATGAATTCCTCTTTTGATTCCTAAAAATCATTTAAAAATTTAAAAAACAAACCAGTTGTGGTGGTGTGTGCCTGTCGTCTCAGCTACATGGGAGGCTGAGGCAGGAAGATCACTTGAGCCTAGGAGTTTGAGGCTGTAGTAAGCTATAATTGCACCACTGCACTCTGGCCTGGGTGACACAGTGAGATCTTATCTCTTGAAAGAGAAAAGAAAGGAAAAGAAAAAAATGTAAAAACCATTTTTAGCAAATGGGCCAGGAAAAAACAGGCAGGAGATCAGATTTGACCCAGAGGCCAGAGTTTGCCAACCCCTGTTAAAAAGCTCTCTTGTATACCTGGGTGGAAAAGTGATACTATGGAACAAGCCCCAAACTGGGAATCAGGTTTGATGAAGAATGAAGGGTCTTGGAGAAATGTGATAGGACAAAGGGTGTTATCTAATGGTAACAAAGTGGGAGAAAGTTAGCAAGCCCTGTTTGTTCGGATTATTCTCGGTCCCCGTATCTTTAGCGATAAAGATGCTCATTTCCTCTGGGTCTGGGAAAAGCATCTCCCTTTCTCTCACATTTCTTCAATATGCCATGGCGCTACATTTTGGGGTAGCATGTCTGGAGCCCCATTACGGTGATAAGATATCAAGGATGGGCGATCAGGAATTTGATCAAATATCAAGGGGTAGGCATTGTTAAAGGAAAAACTTGCAACACATTAAATTTCTCGGAATTGAATCAAACAATGATTCCTGAATCAGGCAGCACTCAGCCGCCCATCCCCGATGGGTTCAAAGTGACTCCACATTACTGGTTGATTAGAGAGGACTTATGAACAGAAAAAGGAAGATGACATCATGTTCTTCTGACTCTTCTACCTGAAAAAAAAAAAGGTATTAAAAAAGGGGG